GCAGGGGGCAGGCCGGGCGTTGTGGGTCTGGATTGTGGCACATGGGCAGAGCAGGTCTGGACTGAGGGCCATCAGCAGCGAGCCGTGCACTGTTTGCTGCTTGTCTTTCACTTCCATCCGCACTGACCCCCTCGCCCAGAACCGCCAGTCACTCAGGAGATGGTGCCCTGTGTGTCCTGTCCCGGTGGCCTTTGGTCTCGCCGAGAGGGGACTACAGAGCGCTGTGTGGGTGCTGGGGTCCCCCAGGGATTCTGCTTCTTCCTGGGCTGCTGCCCTTTGCCACCTCTGGCGCTCACTCCTATCCCAAACCCTCTCCCACCCCCCCTTGCCCATGTGACCAGACTGGGGAGGGACAGGACCAGCGGTAATAATAGCCCGGGGCCCGCCCCCAAAGTCCCTCTCTTGAGTCTGTGACTTGGCCATGGTCGGGATGAGGCCGCTGAGCTAGCCCCAGTCGATATTAACGCGGGACAGCGGGGGGGCGCATGTCCCAGCTGCTGAGCTGCTCCACGGAGACCATCAGCCCGGCTCATATCCTCTGGGTTTAATCTCTTACTTAGGATCCAGCCAGCTGTGCCCTTTCCCTGCCTGAAAGAGCCAGCGTCAGCTCAATCCCCTCCCATCAATCATTTCGCTAGCCCCGGTCCTGGCTCCTAGTTGTCTGATTATCTCCATCCCTAGATCATAGTGGGCTTATCCATCCATCCATCCATCTCCAGCCCTAGATCCTGGTCTGTCTCTCTCTCTCTCTCTCCGTGGTTTCTCTAAGGTGCCCGTCACCGTGGCGTCCAACCACCACTGGCAGCACCAGCTCCTCAGCGCCGTCGGGAGATGGCTGCCCTCGTTTGTTGGAACGGTGTTGTGACGCCCGAAATCGCTAAACTGAGGCCCTGGCGTATCCCGTCTATGGGCAGCTGAAGGCTGCGACGGGCTGAGAACCGAGCTCCCCACCCCCATGCCTCATAGCCTGGCGGCACGTATGACCCGTGAGCTGCCTCGGCTGGCATCCGACTGGGCGCCTTGGGGTTCCTTGCCCAGCTGCAGAGGAGGGATCTGCTGGTCCCTGGCTCAGAGTGATTCCCTCGCCCGGGCGCGTGGCTGGCTGGGTCTTGCCCACATGCTCAGGGTCTGTCCAGTCGCCAGGAGTGGAGTCAGGCAGGACTTTCCCCCAGGTCAGACGGGCAGGGAGCTGGGCGGGAGGTTCCGCCTTCCTCTGCAGCGTGGGGTGCAGGTCATCTAGGTGGGTCTCACGTAACCATTTCCCTGCCATTGCGGGGAACGTGGGTGCTGGTTCACCTGAGTCCCTCCTGTTCTCTGCCTGTGGCACATCAGAGCCTTGTCTCCTACGGGCTGTGACACTTTGGTCTCTTGTCGGTTGTTGGGGTTAGTGTGGGGGGAGGCAGGCTGGGGGAGGCGGCCTGTGACGTACAACAGGTCCCTTTAAATTCTGTGTCTGCCTATGACTACGGACCCCCCAGATCCTTGTTTAAAGCGGCGCATTCTCCATAAAGCAAACCCAACAGGGAGCCTCCCCCAGCATAACCCTCCTCCCCCCACGGCGAGCTAGGAACAGAGCTGCAGCTGACCAGGCCGTGCTGTCTCTGGGGTGGCCAGGGCGCTGGAGGGCTGGGAGCAGGAGTCAGTGGGGGCGGGGGGGGGGGTTGATTGGTTGGTTTGTTCCTAAAGCCCCTGATACCGATGTATCAGGAAGCGTCTCCAGCCAGAGCGACGTCCTCCCCAGTCCTGCTGCAGGTGACATTCGGCATCCCAGGTTCCTTGGCAGCTGCTCCGGGGCACCGTGGCCCTGCCTTCCATCCATCCATCCCCCAGTCCCTCGGTCCCGGAGCAGGATGGACGATCGCAGGGCTGGCTCAGGCCAGTGGGAGAAGGGAATTCCTGCTCCCCAGGGCACGGGGACAGACTCAGGGGCATGGGCACCATCTGCAGGCATCCGCCTGGGCTGCGGGCAGGGGGGAGAATTGACGGTGGCCCCTGAGGCGGAGGGGAGGCCATTGCTGGGGGCCCCCACAGGAAGCTTGTACCCCAGGGACAGCGACCCCACCCGATGGGGCCCGACAGGTCTTTCCCAGCTCTGGTTTCCACGATGGGGGAGGGAGCTGCGGGAACCCCCCCCCCAGAAATAAAGGAGGGCTGGGGCCAAGCCCCAGGGGCACAGGGCCCGATCCTGGGGGCCACAGCACCAGGTGCTGTCAGCAGGACAAGCTGGCAGAGGCTGTGCTCCATAGGACACCCTGCCTCATTAGAGCTCGTTAAAGCCCTTTTATCTCCCCAGAGAAGCTGTGTCAAGCTGCATCCCAGCTGCCGGCACATACCCGCCGTGGGGCAGCCCCGGGCGCCCCCCAGAACCAGTTCATCACCCAGGCAGCTCCCCCAGCCAGAGCCATGGCTTTAACGCCCACGCCGTCAGCCTCGGTGTGTCAGGCAGAGCAGGCATGTGTGTGGGCATACATGTGTGCGTGTGCGTGTGTGTGTGTGCATCCCCAACGCACAGACACTGCCTGGGGGGGGCGTATCGCCGCTGGGCCCTGAGCTGCTGTGTCTCTCGTGGCAGATATTGACGACTGCCTGTCCAGCCCGTGTCAGAACGGAGGCACCTGCATCGACGAGATAAACTCCTTCGTCTGCCTCTGCCTGCCCAGCTATGGGGACAACCTGTGCGAGAAAGGTAAGAGCCGAGGCATCCCGTGGCCCGGCCTGCAGTGTGATCCTGGGAACCGCGGCCCCTTTAACAACACTAGACTGGATGGAGTTACATCAGAGCCAGCCCCGGGGAGGGCAGTTCCACATCAGGTCTGGATCCGGGATCAGGATCTGGGGTTTTGCTGTGGGGCCAGCCCAAGCGGGGCTCTCTGGGGGCTGGGAACCTGGGACCTGTTTGTAGATTGGCCTCACAACTGCGAAGTTTGGAGATGGGAGGAGGGGACCCAGACTCTTGATGCTCAGGTTCCATAGTGATGCGTGCAGGATAGAAAGACACACAGACTGACGGACAGCCTGATAGAGAGGGAGAGCGAGCCAGAGAGTGATCAGGATTTTGGGAATTGGACGGGGGCGTTGGGATAGACAGACAGACCAGGATCTAGGAGGTGGATAGATAAGAATCTAGGGATGGACACAGACAGACGGAAGCGCCTGACCGAGCAGCCATGTGAAACTCACTTTCAAGCGGAGCCTTGCAGCCCGACCCAAACTCAACAGGACGCGGGTACGAGGGTCGGGTTTGGGTCGCTCAGGTCTGAGACCAGCCAGACCCCTTGAGCCAGCCCGTCTCTGATAACTCTTCCTGGCGAGGGGCCACGCGGCTCCTCCCAGGCGCTTCCCCTTCGCTGAGTGCTGGGCGGGTTGCAGCACCCCTCGCTCCGCAGCATTCACAGCACGGCACGAGAGGGTCGGGTCTCAGCCCTGCCGTTCCACGAGCAGGAGGCAGCCAGGGATGGGGAGCAGGGAGTCCCCACCAGGCCGAGGCGTCGGTGCTGACACGGGCTCAGGAGAGCTGTTGGGGTCGGTTCTGAAAATGTCTCGATGCCCTTGGGTCACGTTCAGCTCGGCTGCGCTCGGCTCGGGGCCAGGCTGGACTGAGCAGACCTCTAGTTTCAAGTGAATTTCCGGGTGATTTGGGGTTGGTCCATGTGCGAGTCAGAGCTTGCGCTTCCCCGCTGCCAGCCCCAGACCAGAACTGAGGAAAGAAACCTCCCTGCAGCAACATCCCACCTGGCACCACCCACACGGCCCCTGCCTCGTCTCAGGTGCTGTCATCCTGGCTGCCAGAGACAAGGACGCTTGTAATAAGATCCTGTGAGCAGAGCCCCAGCTCTGAGGCCAGGGAATTAGCCGCCTGCTCCCCTCTGGGAGTGGGACTGTGTCCGTGGCACGCTGCAGACCCTTGAGCAGCAATGGGAAACGGGGCTCTGGCTGCCTTCCTAGCTCACTCGCTCTGCCGAAAATCCACCCGCCTCTGCCGAGCGTTCATCAGACCTGGGCTCTGCTGGCAACTTCCACGCAGCAAGCGCCGGTGCTGGGCCAACGCTGGGGCTTCAGGTCACGGCTCATTTCCCCCGAGTTAGAGAGGGGGAAATCGAGTCACGGGGTGGGCCAGGGACTGGCCCAGCGCCACCCAGCCAGTCAGAGCTGGGCATAGAACCCAGGACTCCTGCCCCCAATGCTCTGACCGCCGATGCTGGGGTGCTGACGGCATTTGCTAACCTGTTCCATTTCTCCCCACTTGGCGGCAGACACGGAGGGATGCGATCACGGCTGGCACAAGTTCCAGGGCCACTGCTACCGCTACTTTGCGCATCGGCGCTCCTGGGAGGATGCGGAGCGGGACTGTCGCCGGCGCGCTGGCCACCTGGCCAGCATCCACTCGCCAGAGGAGCACGGCTTCATTAACAGTAGGGCGGGTGCTTCCCTTCTCCTGTAGCTTGACGTGGGCCGGGAGGGTGGCGGGGCAGAGCCCGGGTTCAGTGCTAGCAGGGCTCTGGGGTGGTGTCCTAGTGTGGATGCGGTTACACTGGTATAAACCCCGTCCCCCCGGATAGCTGTGTTCACGCTAAGGAGGGTTGCGCTGCTTTCATCAGATCGCTGTAGGGAAATATACAGGATCCTCTCCCAGGCGAGTTAGAGCAGCACAACTCTGTAGTGGGGCCATGTGCTGAGGGATGCAGGGCTAAGCATTGCAGAAAGCCTCCGAGGCGGGCGCCGGGCCCTCTAATCCCAGCGCTGCCGGGAGCACAAGCCTCATGAGTGGTATTCAGAGGGCGCCGGTTCGCAGGGAATCAGAAACCGCGCCCAGTGCAGTGTGGCCATTGGAATTTTGAGGAAATGGTTCTAGTCGTGCGTGGAAACCTCAAACTGATTCCCAAGGCCAGAAGGGACCAGTCTGACCAGTCTAATCTGGACTGGGACTTAGGAGACCTAGAGTCACCTCTTGGCTCTGCCACTGCCCTGCTGGGTGACCTTGGGCAAATCACATGGCTGCTCCGTGCCTCGGTTTCCCCATCTGTCAAATGGGGATAAGAATCCTGACCTCTTTGTAAAGCGCACTGGGATCTGCTGCTGAAAGCGCTGCAGACGAGCGGGGTTTTGTGATGATCTAGCCTGGCCTCCTGCAAAGCACAGACCAGAGAATCTCACTCTTCCATGAGCTGAGGAACATGTGGCTGAGACGCCCACTCTTGATGTAAAGCCTCCAAATGATGGAGAATTTACCACCTCCCCTGCGGAGCTGTTCCCATGGTTCATTACCCTTGCTGGTAAAATGCGCCTCTGATCTCCAGTCTGACTTCAGCTTCCAGCCCTTGCATCATGTCCTGCTTTTGTCTGTGAAATGAAAGCACTCCCTTCTCTCAAGAGCTTCTCCCTTTTGAATGGGGAATACTCCAAAATGCACATTTTCCTGCCCACGGGGGTGGGTTACACAGCCAGATGCGGGAGGGGGCACTGGAATTAGGGGTGCTGGGGGCACGGCAGCACCCCCGGCTTGAAGTGGTTTCCATCATATACAGGGTTTACAGTTTGGTTCAGTGACTCCCCCCCCCACACACACACATTGTTCTAGTGCCACTGGTTATATGATGTCAGAATATCGCAGCAGCTCTGGTGCATCGCACAGCGTGCCTTATGAGCTACCGTCCCTGCTGCCATGGCGTGAAATAATGGACAGAACAAGGCAGGTGATATAAAAATGGGGAGAAAAAAAAAGAAATTCTGAAGCAAAACGTTTGGTTTGAAACAAAATTTGGGAATTTTCCCGACACAAAACCTTGCCAGCGGGACGCCTCGGGGGAGATTTCCGACCCACTCGGGTTTGCTCTGATTCTCCGAGTGCTGACATCTCCATGTTCGGACCCGCTCTGGCTGGGAGAGGCCTTTCTCTGCCGGGCGTTCATTGGGCCAAGAGCCAAAGCGGTGCGGTGGGGGCCTGGCCGGCTCGGGGGCTCGTCATGGAAACGGAGTATCCCGCCTGTTGCTGGGGGGCCGGGGGGAAGTGGCATGGGGCAGCACGGCCCGGATTTGTTGCTCTCTGATGGGTGGCTCAGGGCTCTGTGTGGAGTGAGTTTGCTGGGCCTCAGGGTACACACACCATAAAGCCTTCGTCCCCATTGGCACCAATTGTGCCACCTCAGTGCCCTGCTCCCCCCTAGAGGGGGTCCCGCTGGGTCCGGCACATGGGCACGGGGCTGCCCCATTGCCTGTGCCTGCAGCTAAACAGAAGACTTCGTTCTCCAATGGCTCCAATCCAGCCTCATGCACAAACAATTTTGGCTTGGCCAAGCTCCTGTTGCCTCTTCCTCCGCTCAGCCCCTCCCCTGCACACACGCCTGCCGCAGGTCTCGGCAGGCCCCAGCTCTCTTCCAGCCCTGAGCTGAGCTGGTGCCCATCCAACCTCTTCCCCACGCCCGTCTCCAGCAGCCACTGCAAAGAAGCCAGTGGGAGGGTGGGAGTTGTTGTGGGGAGGGATGACAAAGAGGGAGCCAGGACTCTATTCCCAGCCCTGCCACTGACGTCTCAATTAGTGCCAGCAGCGCTGGTGTTTCTTGGGGCGTGGGACCTGGGCTGAGCCCCACCAAAACTCAGTCCACATCAGGCCATCAGGACTCCTGGGTTTTATCCCAAGCTCTGGTGTTAGACCTGAGAGCTGGAGGTCAGGACTCCTGGGTTCTATTCCCAGCTCTATCACTGGACTCAGTGTGTGACATTGGGCCAGTCACAGCCCTGCTCTGTGCCTCAGTTTCCCCATTTGTAAAATGACACTTACACAATCTTTGAAAGTGCATTGAGGTCTATGGATGAAAATCCACAGGCCCATCCAGCAGAAGTGCCCCAGGTAGACTCTGGGTGCAGTTGGTAAATCAATAGGTAAATATCACCCATCACGGAAATGCAGCCATCACTGGGGTGGAGCATGACACACTAGCTGTCTAGTATTACACAGCTTAGCACAGGAAGAGAAGCAGAGCTCAGTGCCAGGTTCTAGTGCCCTGGAATGTACCATCCAGTAGCATTTAATGTGATCCCTGCCAAGAACAGCGATCAGCTCTAGCAAGTGCTTTCCTGGTTGTGTTGCACAGCTGCTCCCTACGCAATGACTTGGGCTCCAGTCCCTCTGGGACAGTCACGTGTGTCTCTTGTGTGACTCTTCCCAGGCTTTGGGCACGAGAACACCTGGATCGGGCTCAATGACCGGATTGTGGAGCAGGATTTCCAGTGGACGGATAACACAGGCCTGGTGAGTTTGAAGCACCTCTGGCAGGGAGCACCTTGGCTCAGGGACCCTTCGCTGCCCCAGGCCCCAGCATGGCATTGTCCTGTTCGATCCAGTCCTGGCCCAAGGGATCAGGGTTATAAAATGCCTGTTGGCCAATTGGGCCCTGCTTGGGAACGTGCACATAGACTCATAGACTTTCAGGTCAGAAGGGACCATTATGATCATCTAGTCTGACCTCCTGCACAACGCAGGCCACAGAATCTCACCCACCCACTCCTGTAACAAACCCCTAACCCATGTCTGAGTTATTGAAGTCCTCAAATCGTGGTTTAAAGACCTCAAGGTGCAGAGAATCCTCCAGCAAGTGACCCGTGCCCCACGCTGCAGAGGAAGGCGAAAAACCTCCAGGGCCTCTGCCAATCTTCCCTGGAGGAAAATTCCTTCCCGACCCCAAATATGGCAATCAGTTAAACCCTGAGCTTGTGGGCAAGACTCACCAGCCAGCACCCAGGAAAGAATTCTCTGTAGTAACTCAGATCCCACTCCATCTAACATCCCATCACAGACCATTGGGCATATTTACTGTAAAGGGGACTGGTGAGGTAGGGGGGAGAGCGTGCAAGGCAGTGCATGCCTGGAATCACGGGGGAGTGAGTGTGAATGTGTGCGCATCTGAGGAATATGGAAGAGAAAGAGGGAGGGGACTGGGAGGTCTCAAAGTGTGTGGCGGGGTTCAGTGTGCATGAGTGTGCATATGTGTGCCAATGTGTGCAAGCGTGAGTGTGCACATGAATGTGTGTGTGTGTGCAGGGATGTGTGTGTGTGCCACTGTGTAAGCATGGGTGTGCACACAGGTGTGGGAGTGCATGAGTGTGTGATAACCTGTGGGTGTGTGTGCAAGACAGCACGTGTGAGCGTGTGACCGCGGGCCTGGCCTCTCCTCTCCATGCAGTCACAGAGCAGCGTCCCACGCCCAGAGACCCCGCTCTGGCCCAGCCAGGCGAGCCGCTGCCTCTGGCTCACACGGGCATCACCTTGAGTTTGGGCAGGGGGGATACCACGGGGGGAGGGGCGGGGCGAACAGCCCCGAGCAGCGGGATGCCTAAGACAGCTCTCGGTGCAGGACACCACATGGTGAGTCTGGCCAGCAGCTGGCTCAGTCCCCCCCTGATTTCTGGGAGACCCCCTGGAATAAACAGGGGGACCATCACTAGTGTAAATGGAGGGGGGCACGGCCAGGGCCTGGGGCAGCCTCTGTCCTGCTCCAAGGGACGCCCAGCCTGGCTGCTGCCCCCGCTTTGCCCTGCAGAGAGCGGTGCGGAGGGTCCCTGCAGGGCTGAGGGGCGGGGGGCGCAGGCAGGGGCCCGCAAGCGAGGGGGTATGATTGCCACTGTCTTTCCCCCCAGCAATATGAGAACTGGCGGGAGAACCAGCCCGACAACTTCTTCGCGGGCGGCGAGGACTGCGTGGTGCTGGTGTCCCACGAGATCGGCAAGTGGAACGACGTCCCCTGCAACTACAACCTGCCGTACATCTGCAAGAAAGGCACCGGTAACCCCGCCACAGCCCCCTCGCCCACAGGGCCCCCCCGAGCCCCCTCCTTCCTTCCCACCCCCAGACTCCCCCAGCTGCTGCTCCTCCTGGCAGGTGACCAGGGTCAGCCTCTGATTGGCTGAATGGGAAAGAGGGGTGGGGCCAATGGAACTATAAATTGGCTTGGTTTGTAACTGGTGAGCCAGTGGGAGCTGGAGCTGGAGCGCGGTGGACTGGCTGGCTGGCTGGCTGGCTGGCTGGCTGGCTTCAAAAGCCAGCAGCTCCCGTGAGAACAATAAGTCCCTTCTCCCCTCCCCCACTGAGAACAATGCAGAATTAAATTAACCCCGTCCTAGCGAGCTCCAGCAGTAGCCCTTGGCTGCGCTTGCTTCAGGGCACAGTCTGACTCCGGGCTGAGATGGGCCCTGTTGAAACAGAGGGGTGACTTCCAGGCACCCTGACCCCGCAGCAGGGGGGTGCAGGCAGGGAGCCAAAGAGGTCAGTGCTGCAGGGTGGGGCAGCCCAGGGAGGCTAGCTGGTGAGGTCAGCTTAGAAGTGGGGTGCTTTTCCAACTCTCACTGTTCACTGAGAAACTCGTGATACTTAGTGGTTTTCTTCAAGCCCCAGCTCTTGGAGTCATGTGAGAATCTCGGCTTTCTTTTCTTTTCTAAAGTGACATGTTAGCCCTCTCAGCTGCAGAGAAGAGCAGGAAAATAGGGCTCCAAAAGTCTCAGATCTCAGGAGGCAAATGAAAAAGAACCTGATTTTTAAGCCAACCTCCTGATTTGGGGGATGGGTCATGAATTTTGAGGGCCTGTCAGTGCCAGCCCTGCTGCATTCAATCTAATCCCCCTCAGAGGAGAGTTTTGCTGTTTGCCAGCCAGACCCATTTTATGGCTGTAAATCCTGCGCTCCCTGTCCCCGGATAGAGATTTCTGCATGGATTCGTGCTGCCTCTCAGTGGAAGGTGGCAAATCAGATGCGGGCTAGACTGTAAAGAAAGCGCCCAAGTCACAGGCGACTTTCCCCTCCTCGTTCTCTTTTGCTGCCCATTTCGCCCCTCGACAAAGAAAATCCAAAGAACCTCGTTTAATCTCGGTTTTTCTACTGCTTAATTCTTCCCCCTCTGCTTTAATTTGCTTAATAGGCCACCATTAAAACTATTAAGTTCTCATTCCTTATCTTGAAAGTTATATTAACCTCCAGCTGTTCCCGCCGAGCCAGAGAAAGACGCTCCAAAGTCCCAGCCACCGTATGTAATGATATATCTGTCCCGATAAGGCCATTAATTAAATATGTAAATCCTCCGCAACACCTTGGCGCAAATCTGTCAAAGGAGCCCTCTCCATAGATTGGATTTATACAGCAGCCACCGGCAGCTTCCTGAAGCGTTCTGTATTACATAAGCAGTGCGGTGGAACTGCCGGGCAGAGCGGGAGACAACGGCCGTATTTCATAGGGAGCCTGATCGAATGGAGGAAGCGGGAAGGCTCTGAACAGGCGTTTAAGGACAGGACAGGGTGACCGGGCAGATGCTGGGGAGATGCGCCCAGGTTCTGCTCCATCTTCCTCTTTGGGCTCTGCCACAGTTGCACCTTCCTCTGAAGGCATCTGGTCTCGTGCACTGCGGGAGGCACGCTACTGGACCATGTGGGCCCCTTGGCTGCTGTAGGGGGGCAGGGCCTGGGTTATTCTGCCAGCTGTTCAGGGACCAGTGCTCAGGGCCCTATGCTGGGTTTTAGTCCCTGCCCCGCCACGGGCTCCGTGGGTGAGTCACTTAGCGTTGGATTTGTCAAGGCACTGAAACCAATGGGAGTTAGGTACCTAGTGGGGTTTTCAGAAGAATCTATCTTCATCTTTAGGCACTTAAATACATTGAATGGTCCGGCTCTAGGCCTGTCTGGGCCTCAGTTCCCCATCTGTACAATGGGAATAATAGCCCAGCCCTGCCCTGGGAGGTGCTGTGAGCATTGCATTGTGAGGGCCTCAGATACTGCACAGAAAATAGGGTTTACCCCACCAGCACCATTGGGTCCCACTGACTGGCAGCCTCAGTGAAACCCCTGCACTCCTAGCCCTGGGCTCCCCACATGCAGCTCTGCTAATGCCCCGCGGTCCCAAACCCAGCCCCACCGCTTGCTAAGTCCAGCCTCCATCCATAGCCCGGGGCAATGGAGCTGAGGAACCTGCAAAGTGCAGTGAGGTGGGTCTGGCTGACCCTCCCCAAACTCCATGAACTCGGATGGCAGGGGGGAAAGGCAGCTCTCCAGCTGAGTCCAAAAGCTGGTTGTTTGCAGACCGGTGTAGGGCCTCTGGTGCCCGCGCTTTGCCCAATCAAGGGCTGTTCTGGTATCCTGCCAGCAGCCCACAGGCCACGACCCATTTGCATCCAACGGAGAGCACCGTCCGCAGCCCCTATGCCCCGGCTTTGTTGTAACCGCGCCTGCGGCTTGCCCCCTGTGCAGTGCTGTGCGGGCCGCCCCCGGCCGTGGAGAACGCCTTCCCCGTCGGCAAGCAGAAGGAGAAGCACAGTATCCACTCGACTGTCCGGTACCAGTGCGAGGGTGGCTTCACCCAGAGGCACGTCCCCACCATCAAGTGCCACAGCAACGGAAAGTGGGACAGACCAAAAATCCTCTGCACAAAACGTTAGTGCCGGCTCCCCATCCCTTCCCATGGGGGCTGGGGGAGGGGGCACTTCTCTATAGACAAACCCACCGTTACTCTGGGCGCTGGAGGTAGCCGTGCTGGGGGTTCCCGAGCACAGGGCTGATCCCTCTGGCTCAGTGCCGAGCCAGCGCCCCATCACATGTGAAACACCAAGCCCCTTCCCTGGAGGGAGGAGGCATTTAGCCCCAATGTCCTGGCTAGATCCCAGGGGCGTCTCTCCATGTCTACACTGCCCTGCGCTCTCAAATGGAGAATGCTGAGCAGCTGCTGCGTTCCACCCCAGAAGTGGCTGCACCGGAGGTAGCCCTCAGGCCTTGCCTTCGCTGCCGATTAGGGCGCGTTCCTCCACTCAAATGAGCATGACCGCACTGGGCACCAGCGCTGGAGCTGCGCAGAGGGGTCGGGCTAGCAGCTACTGGGCTGCATCCGCGCACACACGCCTGGGTCAGCTCACTCCAGTTTAAAGCGCCACTTAGCCTGGACTAAAGCTGTGTGCGTGTGTGGCCGGGAGTCGGGGTGGGGCCACGCTGGAGCTCTACCTCCAGCTAATAGTGCAGTGAAGACGAGCCTTCGTCTGCTGGCCCGTCCCAAAGTTGCCACCTGTCGCAGTGCAGCGCCCCTCAGCCCCACCCTGCAACACCTCCATGGGAGGGGTGGGGGTTTCCCCAGCCCTGGTCTAGGATTCGTCTCCTATCCTCGACCCCCGGGGGTGGGGGGCGTTTGTGGCTTAGCCCTGCGGTAACGTGCCTCCTCCTTCTCCTCCTTGCCTCCGTTAGCCAGAAGGTCCCACAGAACCCGGCGCCACCACCGCCGCCACCACAACCACCCGCGCCACCACCACAACTCCCGCAAGGAGCGGAGAAAACACAGGAAGCAGCTCCAGTTGGACTGGATGGAGGAAGGCAACTACTTCTAGAGGCTGGTGACGAGCAAGCACAAGTCCCCTCCCCTCCCCTCCCGCCCCGGGATGAGCCGGGCACGTGTGTGTGATGGGAAAGGGCAACTTTTACTGGCCCCCCCAGCCCCCCTTTTCTAAACCCCTTTGCTTTCATTCCTTAGGACGCCCCCATCGCCCGTGTGCCTGGGGGGGGTGCGTGTGTGTGCGTTTGTGTCCCTCTGTGCGTACACACGGCCTTGACCCTGCTGGTGCTCAGTCCGTCCAGGAGCCGCTCAGCACCACGCAGGGTCCAGTCGCTGGGCTCCACCCATCCGGGTTCCCACTGAGCGCAGAGGCCAGGCCAGGCTCTTAGGACGGGTCCAGACTGTCCTAGCATGGCCGTGCAGGGCCTGATCTTCAGCTAGTGTCAACTTCAGTGGCTTTACACCGATTCACACCGGTGGGAGGATGGGGGGCTCTGGCCCGGTTTGGTACGTCTACACGGCAAAACAACCCCACGGCAGCGAGTCTCAGAGCCCGGCCTCTGAGACTTACTGCGGGGGGGTGTTGTGGGAACGGAGACGTACCCACTGACTCCAGTGGAGCCGGGCGGATTCACTCCAGCTGGGATCTGGCCCGTGTTCCCAGGGAGGCAGGACAGACAGTTCCCCTCCCCATCTCTGGCTCCTTTGCTTGGGCTCCTCTTCTGGGCAAGACTCCAGTGTGACTCCTCATCCCCAATCCCACTGGCCTTCTGCAAGGGAGACTCCAGTTTTTTAATAAACAACTCCCCCTTCCTTTCCCCCCCGCCCCCCAAGTAGCAGGTCCCTATAGTCCACTCCCTACCAGGCCCCCTCTTCCACTCCTCCCCCAGTGGCATCTATGTTCCGTTCTCTTCCTTTTGGATCCAGTGGTTTCCTGACTGGCTAGAAGTGCAGAAGCTCAGAGCAGGACGCACGCTCACACTCACAGCACTGAAGGTTTCTCAGTATTCGAAAACTACCGTCCTTACTCAAACCAAGGGCAATTCCCGTAGGAGCCCAATGGCTGACGATGCTTTTCCAGCTTCGGTCTCCCCGAATCTGCATCCCAGCCACCGACAGGTTACAACGCAGTGATCAACTCGGAATCCTTTCCCTTCCATCTGCCTTCGTTTTCTTTGCTATCTTCCTTTCCCCGGGGCAAGAGGCAACGGGTAGAAAACGCACCGTAGGAAAGACAAGGGGGAGCAGGCGGCCCTTGAGATCCAGTATTGCTCTGGTGTTGGGACGCTTCTCAATAGAAAACAATCGGAACCCGTCCGGGGCGGGGTCTGTTCTCGCCTTTCCGTCCCTTCCCCATTGGGTCTGATAGCGTAGGCAGCAGCAGACCCAGTTACACTTTCTTTCTGCGCTGACGGTTCTTCCTGGCTCCAGCCCCTGCCCCAGGACAGACGTACCAAGGATCCAGGGTCTGCTTTTCGTTTCCTTTGCCATTTTAAAGCCCTGATCTTACAAACATGTGACATGAGCAGTCCCCTCGGGCCAGGCCCTCAGCACTGGTGGAGCTACACCAGTTTATACCAGCTGCAGATCTGATCCGTTGACTCCAGTGGAGCTGGGCTGACTTACAGCATCTGAGGCTCTGGCCCCATTGACTTCAGTGGGGCTGCCTGTGTGAGTAAAGTTACCCCAGTGCGTAAGGGCTAGATTCTGCCACCGTCACTGGAGCTGCCTGGCCGATTTCAAGGGGACTCCTCGAGCAATAGGGCACTTGCCCAAGGGGTGAAATTGAGCTGTGGACAGAGGTCGGCACAAGGACTGTGCACCGATCCAAACTGAGAGTCTCCTGTTTTGGATGGCAGCACCTGGAGCCCCCAACTGAGATTGGGCCCCCTTGTGCCGGGCACTGCACAGCAGAGCTGGCCCAGCTCCACCGAGCTCACAGCCTGAATAGACAAAGGGCAGATGGCGAAGCAGAGGCCCCGAGGGGGGGAGTGACTCCCCGCAAGGCAGAGGCAGGACTGGAACCTGCCCTCCCCAGTCCTGTCCACTAGACCCCGCTGCCTCTGCCTTACATCCAAACGAGCCGAACTGATTTACACCAAGGGAGGGGGGGTCTATGCCGGAGCTGGAGGTGTTATTTCCAGCTCGCCTGGCTGCACCCGATCACGCCAGTGCACTAGGAATGGAAGTGTAGCCCTGCGAGTGTTACCTAGCACCTCAGATGGGCTCACCCTCGGGCCAGCTGGGCCGTCCTGCTGCTAGCGCTGCCGCGGCTCATTGCAAATGACACCTTCAGCTCCAGAGCAGTCGTAGTCTTGCACGGCCCAAAGGCCTCGTGCCAGGCATTTCGCACGGGGAGGGGGCTGAATTTCCCCCAAGGTTGACAGAATCGGTCCCAATGCCTTTGCAGGATCGAGGCCCTCCGGGTTTGTTTTGGGGTTGGGGTTTTTTTTTCCCGTTTGTCGTCATTTATTCGGGTTGATTTGGTGTGTGCGTGTGTGCGCGTGACAACGCAGCCAGCCGCTTTCCAGTCTCCGCTGTTTGCGATGTGACCGCAGTGTCCTGGATCCCCAGCCCCCCGTGGCATCGATGACACTCTGCGTTTCTGTAGTGCTGGACATTTTAATAAATTTTTTTAACACTTAATAAGCCCCTGCAATCTTCTTTGCCTTTTATTATGACTGTTATTATTTTTTTGCCTTCCATTTCCTTTCCCAGATGCAGAGACACAGCTGAGACGCCTGGCTCCTGCGCTCGGCTAATGTAATGCTGTGGGGGCATCTTTCTGCAGCTAATTCCAAACTTCGCTGCTGCTGGATTGCTACCGCACAGAATTATATTCTGTCATCCTTTTCCTGTCTTCCTATTTCCATTTAAATGAGCCTTACAAAAAAATTGGATTTTTTTTTTTTTTTTTGGCTGTTCCAGCCTAAAACTCCAAAGATTTGAAATGTCTCAGGGGGCTGGGGAGAGGGCAAGATCTAGGCATGACATATTTCAGGCTAGAAGCGAATTGACACCTGCAGCCACCTTCCTTTGGTGCAAGGGAAAGGTCCCACTAGCTACAAGTGCCTTGCCTGGGAGAGAAGCCACCCCACACCCCCAGGGCAGATACTATATTGGGCGGCTGTAAGCAGCCATGGGCTGCCCCCCACCCCAAGCCTCAGTGCAGGGGGCGTGTCTGGAGGCGGGACGGGGCGTGCTAGGCTAGGCTCTGTGGAGCAGCTAACAGGCTGCCGTACATTAGAGCAGACCCTGGCCTCTGACAGCCCAGAAATGAGAGGGGGCCAGGGTGGCTCAAAGCCTCCTTCTGCACCTAGGCTGCGCCTTCTGTGCGCTGCCTCCAGGGGGCGCAGCACACTCTCTCCCCACAGGTGTTTGCATGTAGAAGCAGGTGGGTTCTGGGCTCTATGGGCATCAGCCAGGGAGATTCCTTGCCCCCCATCCCAGCCTCACCTCAGTCTGGGAGGGGCCGGAAGATGGCCGTCACCTGGCTCTGGACTAAGAATGAGCCGGGTCCCAGCAGGGCCGGGACGGGGGACCTGAGGAAGGGGCAGGAGATCAAGCCAGGTGGCCGGAGGGGGAGCTGGAGGTTGGATTTCAACGATACAGTTCATCCAGAGTGATCAGAAAGCTGCTGGTGATGATCAAGTGCCGGGGCCCTTCGGCAGATCAGTCTCCCAGCGATGGGCCTGTTTGGAGCCGCCGGGAGTGTCAGGCTGCACCGGGGGCTTGGGCTGTGGGTGGTGGGCTAAGCACAGAGGGCTGCATTTCCCCTTCTGCCTTTCTGTCTCACATGTGTGGTTTCCACACACTCACGCCCAGGTGCCCTGGTCCCTCCCGCCTGCCCTCCACTGAGCACAAGTGGCAGGTTGTCAATTTTTAACCACCTCCTCGTTTATTTTTCTCTCTTCTTTTGTTCCTCCTGTTTCTTCCTGGGGCAGGGAAGGGCTGAGGGGAGGGGACACAGGCATGACCACCCGCTAGGCCTCTTCCCATCTCTGATCCCTTCTGTAGCTGGGGCTCAGGTTCCCATCCACCCTCTGGATAAAACAAGATGTCTGGAGATCAGAGGCAGCCCTGGGAGCCTCCTCCTTTGATTCTGCCACCCTGCTATTCCAGGAGCTCTTCAGATCTTCCCCGCCAGGCCCTGCACATCGATTTCCTGGCTGTGCTGGCGTGTGAACGAGGCAGGGACTGCGCCGCTCCCAGCGTGGGGGGGGGGGCGTCTGAGGAATGTTACTGACACCCCGAGCCCCCTCCAGCCAATGTTCAATAATTAATCACTAATAACAAAGTGGGATGTCTCAGCCAGGGGCGGGTCTATGTTTTTTGCCGCCCCAAGCACGGCAGTCAGGCGGCCTTCGGTGGTGTTTCTGAGGGTGATCTGCTGGTCCCGCGCCTTCGGCGTACCCGCCACCGAATTACCGCCGAAGCTTGCCGCCCCAGGCACGTGCTTGCTGCGCTGGTGCCTGGAGCCTCCCTGGTCTCAGCCTGCAAAGGGAGTAAGCGTCACAGACACTGGAATATTTTCCTCAGGCCCCCCAGGTCGCTTGGCCCAGTATCCCCAGCCCTGGGGATACACAGGGTCATGGGAGCTGGAGTGGGGAGAGACCCCTAGGGCCCCAGCCAGGGGCTCTCATGTCCCTCCCCGGTGCTCAGACGCAGCAGGGATGGGCACTACAGCCGCTGGCACAGAGATCTCACGTACCTGCCCAGCCCTCAGCTCCTGTAGTGACAGGTTCTATAGGCTCCAGCGTGGAGAGCTCATGTGCCTTCCTCGTGCTCAGATGCTGCAGTGATGGGCTTTAGAGACACCAGCACAAAGCTCTCATTTGCCTAGACTCAGAGGCGGATGAGGAGTTTGTGGGGCCCTGGGCCAGAGCAAGTGGGGGCCCCTCCTCACCCCTTCCACCTGCAGTCTCCCCCCCCCCCCCCCCCCCCCCCCCCGGGAATGAGGAGCAGGTCGGGGCCCCCGGGCACAGGCCCTGTTGGCCCAATGGCTAATCTGCCACTGCCTAGACACCGCGGTGATGGTCGTTGTAGAAAAGCTCCAGGCAGACTCACCGACAAGTTAGCTCCTACAGCCCCATCTCCTGCGAGCGCAGGTCACAGACCCCATGGAGTGG